AATCTCTGTTAGTGCCACCCAAGTGAGGCTTGAAATGGCAAAGATGAGACTGATTTCATTATAAATTACACAAAAGCACCCCCTCTTTCCTGAGCATACATTTCTGCCTCCCCTTCCAAGAGAGGCTGCCTGGGTGTAGATAGGACCACATAAACTGATATAGGGAGACCCAGGCTCTAAGCCTAACATGACATGTGGTCGTAGATCAGTCACACCCTTTTTCTGGCCTCAGTCTTCTCCTAAATATGGCCACAAATTAGTTACAGACCTTCCCAGCAGGGGATAGTCTTTCCCCACTTGCCTCGATCCCAGAGCCAGCCACCCTCCAGTCCACATCACATCATCTCCCCTAAATTAGCCATAAGGAGCCTGCCAGTGATTTTCCCGCAGTCACCCTGCCCCTGACATACATGCGTTTCACACAGGAGACCAAATAACATGAAAACATAAGTCGTTCATCTGCTGCACACCCCTAATCACCTTCCTTCCCACGAACCACAAGATCGGACACCGCCTGGCTCCCCACCACCTGTCTGCTTGTCTTACCTTTGTTCATACTGTGTTAGCTCATGTCTGGGACTGTGACCCCAGCACCACACAGCTCATCATCTCTAGAGAGATTGGAGCCAAAAATGAAGGCAGAACCTGAGCTGGAAAGCTTAGGAAGTTTCACTTCAAGATAAACACTGAAGTGGTACCCAGAAGCTAGGGTAGACAGAAAGTTACTCCTTGAACCTGGGGGAGAAAGTTTTCTAAGAGGAGGAGATGGTGGTGGCATGAAGGAGCAGAGGGTTGAAGAAACACCATTTCTGGTGGAAGGTAAATGGCCAGAAAGTTCAGCTGTCACCCCATAGCCAGACGGTGAACAGATGAGTCCCCAATCAGGTTGGTGTGACCACATTTGCTTGCACATCTTAACTGGTTTTTCCTGGACCTTGAGGTCTGATCCTCCATGAGAGTCTAAACTCCCGTGGCATATTTTCCTTTGTAGCTCCCTGTCTCCCGAGCAGAACTCTGCACAAAGATGGCAGGGACAATGTTTGCTGAGTGTTGTGAGCAACAGGCCTTCTCGCCAGCCACACCTGGTAGCAGCAGCCCAATTTTCTTCTAGCGCATGCTCCCCTCCCCACTCTCACCCCGTGCTCCGCGTAAGCCATTTGTGTCACTAGATTCTTGAATTACCGGAGCAGATAATTTCCATTTCTTCCCTAAGACAATTAGAGTTACTTGTCACTTGCATCCAAAACAGTCCTGACAGATGAATGAATGAATGGATGAATGGATGGATGGATGAATGAATGAATGAATGAATGAATCTACATGAAAACCTTGGCACAGAGGAAAGGATTCTGTGTTGGGAGCCAAGTCAGTATGTCACCATTTACTGTGTGATGCTGGGCAAGTTGCCTGATGTCTCTGGACTTCAGTTTAGAACTCTGATACCATTAATTTATCCAACAAATATTTATTAGCATTAATTGTGTCCAACACCCTGCTAGGTGTTGGCTCCTCTGCGGTAACAAAACCCTCATGATTCCTGTTCTCATGAAAATGGAAATGAAGCGCGCTCCTAGAAAAGCAAATTTACATTTTGCACACCTGACTTTGTAAACATCTGTTTGTGGCACAAGCCTCTAGCACATGGTAACTGGTAAGGATTATTTTATTATTCCTTCCACTCTTCATCAGCTACTACTGTGGGGTTCGTTGGAAGAGGGGCAAGACACAGGGCCTAGTATGATGGGGAGGAGGATACCCAGAATTCACTTCCCTCCCAGAACTCACAGCCAATCAGAAATCATGTTTATGAGCCTAATTATACATGGCACTCAGCTAGAGGGTGTAATAAGAGCCTCACTTTGGCCTGGGACCAATCCTTTGGGACTTTTAGCTCTAAGAATAGCCAACATGCAACCAACTACATTTTTTCTGGCCTCTGGCAAAGAGACTTTTCTGAGTCAAATATGCTCATCAGTGTTCCCAAGATTCAGGCTTAGAAACCGAGCTACTTAGGCTCCATCGCTTTCTGTTCTTATTAGAAAGAATTAATAATGCCAGGGCGCCTGGGTGGTTCAGTTGGTTAAGCGTCTGACTCTTGATTTTGGCTCGGGTCATGAACGTGAGATCAAGCCCCAAGATGGGCTCTGCGCTGACAGCATGGAGTCTACTTAGGATTCTCTCTCTTCTTCTCTCTCTGTCTCTCTCTCTCTCTGCCCCTTCCCCGCTTGCTCACACATGCCTGCGTTCCCTCTCTCTCTCAAAATAAATAAATAAATTTTTAAAAACCCAAAGAATTAATAATGCCAACCACAGTTGGGTTATTTTTAAAGGGAATTCACAGCTTGGATTGAGGTGGCAGAATGTCAGGCTGAAATAAGCCCAATATATGAATGTAAGCTTAGCAGGCCCAAAATAACCAGAGCCCTATTCCACCTTCTGTGATTTAATTTGCTCATTCGTTTAACAAATATTTACCAAGTGCCCACTCCGCACCAGGCACCATCATACAGCAGCTGCTGGCTCCTAAGAGGGCAGCCCAGAGGGGGAAGAGATCCAGAAGCAAATATCCGAACACAAGCCCATTCCTTGTATTCCCATGCACACACCTAACTGAGCCCAGCCGAGGGTTAATAAATCAGCCTCTACTAATAAATCAGTGCATGTACCCTACTCTAAATATAGCACAGGTTCTTGCCTGTTCCTTATTATTGCTGCATTTAAAACACGACCTCAAAATTTAGTGGTCTGGTACTTAATGCCACTGAATTGTACACTTAAAAAAGATTAAAATGATATTTTTCCATAATAAAAAACCTAGGGAAGGATTAAAAAAATTAATACTTTAAAACAACCATTTAACTAAGCTCAAAGATTCTGGGAGTCAGAGCTTTCCAGTGGGGCCAGTTCATTTCTGCTCCATGATGTCTGGGCCTCAGCTAGGGAAATTTGAAGGCTGGGCGTGAATCAGTGTCCGGGTTGACTCAAAAACTAGGGACTGTATATTGGAGCACCCAAATGTAGCCTCTTTGTGGCTTTCTCACAACATAGTGGCCTCAGGGTAGTGAAACGTTTTATAGGATAGCTCAGAGCACCTAATATGAGTGTTTCCAAAAAAGGAGGGGGGAGGAAAGGCAAAACCTGTGTCCCCTTTATGACCTAACCGTGGAAGTGTCACTACCGTCACATTCTATTGGTCAAGACAATCATAAACCTACCCAGATTCAAGGTTAGGAGCTGGGTAAGAATTAGACTCCATGTTTTGATGGGGGACTATCAAAATTACATTGTAGGAAAACACGTGTGAAGGAAGATATTGTTGCATCCATTTCTGGAAAAATACAATCTGCCACATCACCTTTTTAAATGGTTCAAAAGCAAAGAAATCACAGAAGAATCAGTTTATAGAAATAGCACCAGAAGAGACCTTAATGAACATAGTCTGAGAAATTGAGCCCTGAGAGGATCCCTCCTCAGGCTGGTAGAGCACCCAGGACATTAGGCTGAGCCGAGCGAGATGGTCATGTCTAGTTGGAATTCTATCAGTTCCCAAGAGTGTGTGATCTCAGGCTAGTAAGGCTTTTCACCCCTGAGACCTCCAACTTCCTCATCTTTTAAATGTTTCATCAGTGTTGTTGTGAGAACCAAGTAAAATATTTTACGGGAAGACAAGTATGTTGCAAAAATGTCCACAGATTGACTGACCCCACAGGTGGACAGCCCACTTTAAAAATGCAGCAGGTGAAGACCATTTATTTCCCATGTATCTTTGCCACCACTCTCTCCAACGGCAGTTATCCTCCTGGTGTTGCTTGCCTGTCGCAGAGGTAGGAGTGGCAGATGAAAGCTCACAGAGGGCAAATGACCTAGATAGAGCCACACAGCCAAGAAAGGTCAAAACCCAGATTGTTCTGGGATGCGAAGGCTTGCCATTCTACAGTGCCCCAGCCATCGACATTTTCTACAATAGGTGACTCTGACCTTAGCTGAGAACATGGCATAGATAACAGCAAGTTTCTAGAGTCACACAGTAACAGGAGGGTGGGAGAAATGCTGGTCCTTGTCTCATGGAATCGAAGAATGAATCTCCTGGACGACAGAGAGTGAGCAAAGCGATGAGTTTACTGAGGGAAAGTATACAAGAGTGAGAGGGGTCCCAAGTGGGTAACCACGGAGGATTTCTGTCCCTGACTCTTTATTGGGACCTTACTAGAAAGTTGGTCAGATTCCATGCATGGTGGGTCTGGAATACTTTTATCCACCCTTTTCCCCCCAAACCCTGCTACTTCTTCAGCCTCCCACTTGCAGCTGCAGCCTGCCTCCCTGAAGATGCCTTATTTCTCCTTGCTGAATGTTAACCCTTTCCCCACTCAACTACCTGGGTTCATTCTTTAGCTGCATCCCTTACCAGCTGTGTGACCTTAGGAAAGATCATTAACTCTCCCCCACGTGTAAAGTGGTAATAAGACTTCCCACATGGGGTTAAGAAATAACCAGATTAACATAAGGCTTTTAAAAAGTGCTTCGCACATAACAAGCACTTTGTTTGCTGTTGCTGCAACTACTACTGTGTACTTAAGTACAGAATAAGTGCTAAATATTTTAAGGTGACGAAGTAACACCCAAGAATGCAGTAAGATGTAATGGCGGAAGTACCTCCTCGAAATGACATCTATTTTGGTGAAAGATTTAAAAGAAGAAAACCATAAACCTCTACCATTTGTCAGTCTTAAGACTATGGAACTTCAGGCAAAATAAAGACCTGTGGAAATTTGCCTCTGACCCCTACAATTCCAGTTTTATTTATTGCCTCCAAAAAGCCCGCAGAGACCTTCCCACGCGGGACAGTCCTGAAAAACCCATTCAAGTCACTCCACACAGCGCGACACACCCAGGTGGAGTCCCCGCCCGGCTGCTTCCGCTTGCATCCCTCTCCCCTCCCCTTTCCCGTTCGGCGCCCTGCAATGACGTCAGAAGTGGGCGCGGAAATCCGAGCCCGCGCGTGCGCTGTGCGCAGGCAGCAGCCCGGTGCTTGCTCCCGGAGCGTGCCGTCTGGGAGTCGGCGTGGTCCCAGTGCTGCTAGGGGCGAGTCTGTAGCGCGAGGCGTCCTTGAGCTGAGGACCATGAACCGCAGCCGCCAGGTGACGTGCGTGGCCTGGGTCCGCTGCGGCGTGGCCAAAGAGACTCCGGACAAGGTGAGGCCTGGTCGCTGGAAGGTAGAAGGAGCGGCCTCTTCGCAGCATCCTCGGTCAGCCCCGCCTGGGGAACCGGGACCCTCTGTACGCGGCCTTGGCCTGGCTGCTGTGACTGGACGGGGTGAGGCCGACTTTGGCCTGATTGTCGTGAGGAGGCCTGAGGCTCCAGGGCCTGGGAGTCGGGGGCCGCGCCCCCTCACGGTCCCTTCCTCGGAGTCCAGCCCCACCCCCGAATTGGCCGACACAGAGACCTCTTCGGAGGGAGGAGGGCGGGGTATTGCTCAGAGTGGGAAGTCCCCCCAAAGCCTTCTTGACAGCACCGTAGCTTCGCGCACACCCCGGTGCATTTTCGGGCAGCACGGGAAGAGGGAGCACGTGTGTGAAACCACTTTCCACTCCCGCGTTTGGAGGAGTGAGCGGGATGAGAGGTGTAGTGTAGAAAAACTGGTGTGGAGACCATGATGCCGTGAGGCTCGGCAGAGACAGCGATCCAAGTGAGATGTTTGATGTGGCAGTGGGGGTGAGAGGTAGACGTGACATTATGAAGGGAACCCCTACAGAAATTAGAGAATGAGCCTATAGTAGAGGTGAAGATGACTTAAGTTGTTCAGCTGATATTACAGGTGCTCTCTGCGTTTTGGGCATTGTTTAGGGTCTGGATATAGGCATAAACAGAATGGAAAGATTCCAGTCCTTTCTGGAGTTGACAAGTGCATGTATGTCAGTGGGAGTAAAGGGGGGGATGAATGTAACTGAGCCAGTGATGACAGAGATGAGAAGTGATAGGAATGTAAGTGGCTGGGACGTGGAGTTAACAGGAATGAGGGATTGGAATAGTCCCCTGGGTCGTGTAAATTCCACTAAGGCACATACCTTATTTGTCTTATTGTTTTATTCACCAGTTTCTCAGTGTTTGGCTCCAGTAGGAACTCAATGCATATATATATATATAAAACAGGGCCAGAAAATTATTACTGAAGGAGGTATTAGTTGTTATTAAAAAGGTATATGTAGGCTTTTAAAGGCTATATGAGTTCCAAACATGTCTACATAGTGCAACCACTTGGGGAGCTTCAGACAATACTGATGCCTAGGGCGCATGGCTGGCTCAATTGATGGAGCATGGGACTCTTGATCTCAGGATCATGAGATCAAGCCTCCCCCACCCCCAGCGGGTATAGAACTTACTTAAAAATACCGATGCCATGCCCCACTCCCAAATATTTAATTTAATTGGCCTGGAGTGTTAAAAGATTCCCCCCATGTGATTCTAATTGGCGACATGTTTTAGAACTACAGCTTGAAGAGTTTATCGGAAGAAGAGGTGAGCTTATTCTACAAAATCCCAGAGAAACTCAGATCAATGAGAATAATTAGAAAATAAATATCTTTTTAAAGGGGGGTGGTCCCTGGGTGGCTCAGTCGGTTAAACATCTGACGTCAGCTCAGGGCATGATCTCGAGGTTTTTGAGCACCTCGTGTGCTGACAGCTCAGAGCCTGGAACCTGCTTCAGATTCTGTGTCTCATCTCTCTCTGCCCCTCTCCTGCTCATGCGCTCTCAAATATGAATAAACAGTAAAAAAAGAAAAAGAAGTATCTTTTAATTAAACTTAAAACCCCTTAGTTTCTGGAACAGTGGAATGTCACCCCTCAAGAGGATTTCCATATTACTAGAGGTGGTTTAGTGCAAACTGAGTGACTGATTCATCGTCTGTCACCAGGGATCCCTACCATGAGCTGAGCACTGAACTATATGCATAAATACACAACGATAAGTTGGTTCCTTTCAAGGAGCTTACAGGTTAGCAGTGATGGGGTGTTTTAAAAGGTGCTGAAGCACTGACTAAGCAGAAGACTGCAGTTTTGAAGTAAAGAAAATGATTCCAGTTTTGTACAGGATCTCCAAGTGGAGAGAGTCTTAAAGGCAGCTAGAAAGATGGAGCTGGAGTGTGGGGCTAGAGAAGGGGGAGTTTGGGGTAATCGGTTTGGAAGCGGTAGTTTCAGTCTTCAAAAAAAAATGAGCTTCACAAGAAAGTAACAGCGTGATGAGTGAATAGGGCAGTGAGAACTGGGAAAGGAGCCGGGGAGCAAGGCAAGGATGGTTTGTTTAGGAATACACACAGTGGGGGCGCCTGGGTGGCTCAGTCGGTTAAGTGTCCGACTTCAGCTCAGGTCATGATCTCACAGTTCGTGGGTTCGAACCCCGCATCGGGCTCTATGCTGACTGCCAGCTCAGATCCTGGAGGCTGCTTCAGATTCTGTTTCCCTCTCTCTTTGACCCTACCCTGCTCAGCTGTCTCTCTCTCTCAGAAATAAAACATTAAAAAAAAAAAAAAAGGAATACCCACAGGGAAAATGAGAACTAACCAGGAAGAATTCAGAATAATTTAAAGAAAATGAGATGGGCTATCATAGAAATCAATTTATACAAGTCAGTCTTTGTTCAGAAGTCTGGGAAGAAGTAAACTGAACATGATTTTTAAACAGTTGGAGGTGGGAAAGGATTTAATGACATAGAGACATGTGAGAACTCCATTTACAGTGAATTTAGAGAGTCTTGATTGAAGTTTGATTCTTGAGGTCTTTTGAAGTTATATTTTAGGCTAGTTTGCAAACTTCTTTGTAATTCAGAGATTCAGAATGATTTCCTTAGCCGTGCCTCAGTGAAGTGTCTGCTCTCTTATAGGTAGAGCTTAGTAAAGAAGAAGTGAAACGTCTCATTGCTGAAGCAAAGGAAAAATTACAGTAAGTTTAAAATTGTTGTTACCTACTTTCGACAGACTTTAAAGTCTAGGTGGTATGTAAGTCTTAAACAGTGATGACAGGTGGTCTTGTCATTGAGTGGTATCATTTGGGTGATTTCTTTACCTTTTTCTTCCCTTGGTGTAGAGAAGATGGTGGCAGTGACGAAGAGGAGACAGGCGATCCTTTGGAAGATGGCATGCAGAGTGCACGTACCCAGGCGCGGCCAAGGGAGCCCCAGGAAGATGGTGACCCAGAGGACGACAGGACGCTGGACGACGATGAGCTGGCCGAGTACGACTTAGATAAATACGATGAGGAAGGCGACCCCGGTGAGAATTCACTCACTTGTGGTTTTTAATCACAAGCTCCGTGTGTCAGATCATGCGTCTAGTGTTTGCAGACCTTTACTGTGAGATTTCATTGTCCTTTATGCCAGTTGAATAATCTGGTTCAAGGCTCGGGAAGATGGCATGTTTCCTAAACTAGTGTAGAAAATAAGCTAACCCACCAATCTAAGATCTAAAAAAATATATAGTCATATATTTTATTTTAATAGTGAGTATAATCTGTAACTTGGGTTGGGGGATGGGCAAGATGGGTGAAGGGGAGTGGGAGATACAGGCTTCCGGTTATGGAATGAATAAGTCATGGGGGTGGGGATGAAAGTTACAGCACAGGGAGTATAGTCAAAGGTCCTGTAATAGCCTTGTATGCTGACCAACGGTAGCTACACTTGTGAACGTGGTGTGACGTATAAGAGATGGAAGTCCCTGTGTTGTACACCTGAAACTAATGTAATATTGTGTTTCCATTAGACCCAAATGAGAAAAACAAATTTTAATCTGTAACTCATTTCTCTTTGCATTAATGAGAGAGGAGTTATTACCCCCATTTACAGAGAAAACTGAGGCTTACACAGATGAAATAACTTCACCACTGTGACACAGCTGCTGAACTGTGGAGCTGAGGGTTGAACATTCTCTTGCTCTAAAGCCTTTATTCTTTCAGTGTACTTGATTAGATGCAGAGAATAGTGTTTTCCTTTGAATTGGGTTGTGGGCCCCTAACCTTGCTGCCGTCCTGCTACGACAGAGTGCCATGGGAATCCAGAGAAAAGGGGAGCTAACCCAGCCTGCAGAAATGGCATCCAGGGGGACGCCTGGGTGGCTCAGTCGGCTAAGCATCCGACTTCGGCTCAGGACATGATCTCATGGTTCATGGGTTCAAGCCCCACATCGGGCTCTGTGCTGACAGCTAGCTCTGCGCCTGGAGCCTTTTTCAGGTTCTGTGTCTCCCTCTCTCTCTGACCCTCCCCTGCTCAGGCTCTCTCTCTCTCTCTCTCTCTCAGAAATAAAGCATTAAAAAAAATTTTTTTTTAAAATGGCATCCAGAAACTGCTGCTTAATTATCCCCACACTATGTGGACTATTGGCTCTGTCTTTCTCATCCAGTTGAAATCCCCATCTCTGTTGCCTGTCAAATGTTTAAGACTGAGTAGTCCTCTTCCTTAAAGTGGCTTCCCCTAACAAAGCATCTTTCTCCTCCTGAGTTTTCCATTATTTGAGGTGTACTCTGTGTCACCCTTGCAGATACGCCGTGAGAGAATGCCGCTTTGAGGTGCATTAGTGCAGAGGTGTAGGAGTCGTTCTTTCAGGGTCATGGCAAGTTAGCCTGTCAGCAGTTCTTGGAAATCTTGAAATAAAGAAACCCATTTAACCTTGTGAAACTCATCATTTTTTATTTGATTTGACCAGGCCACCTTTATTTTGTATCGATTCCAGTGTTTTAGGGTAATTTTCAAAGCCACCCCTCTCTGTAGCACTTTTTAATGACTACAAGGAACAAGTTAAGAGTTGTAATATTTTCTAAGAGACAGTTCAACAGTTTAATGCTTTTACTGGAACATTGTGAATACCAAGGCTAGCAGATACGTATTCCAAGATCACATACAAATGGCTTTTAAATTCCCGTTGATTACTCAGTGTTTCCTTCCCTGACTATGGATGATCCAGTTAGTTATGATAGTCAGATTTCAGTCTAAAGACTGGATACTGTAGGAAAATGCTTCTGTCAAAATGACTGTTTTATTCATTTCAAAAATGTATGAATTCTTACAGATACCGAAACTCTTGGTGAGTCTCTCTTGGGTCTTACAGTCTATGGAAGTAATGACCAAGATCCTTACGTTACTCTGAAAGATACGGTAAATATTCACATGGCTTTTCTAATTATGCTGCTTTAAGTCTTTGGGAACCTTACCAAATACATGCTTCTAGTTAATGACTTTTTCTCCCCACTTAGGAGCAGTATGAACGTGAAGATTTCTTGATCAAGCCCAATGACAATCTTATAGTCTGTGGCAGAGCCGAACAAGACCAGTGCAATTTAGAGGTGCACGGTAAGTGAGGGACACCGCTTGCAGAAAGGCCCTCCACGATTAAGATAATCACTGTAATAGTTGCTATTGTGAATTTTTAGGCACCAGGTTCTACTAGATCTCATTTAAGTTACGTGGTTAATTACATATAGTCTACAGATATTCTGGTCATTGTGCCTGGGCATCTGTGGTCTGGTCTGTCGCCTTGGTATCTGACTTTATGGAAATAGGTTTTTAATCTTTTATTTGAACATTTTTGCCAGTTTTTCACTCCCTTCCTCCCCTCCCCGGAGAAAACCAGTATGGAAATGCAGGAAACAGTGAGAGTCCCATTACCCTGAGGTAACTTGTTGCCATGGCTTTTTACTCCATTCTCTTTTTTGGGTACTTTCTTTATGTGGTGAAGGTTACCCTCAAAAGACAGGTTTTTGCTCTACTTTTTTTTCCACAGTCATTTCAGAGATTTCCCTTTTTCCAAAACATTTTATTTCTTCACAATTCAATGCTGAGGTCTTTATTCCTCTGGTCACCTTTCCCAGTTAAAGGAATGTTTGTACCACTGACAGAGGTGAATGCTTTGAGTCTGAAGTAGGCACTGACTTGAATTTTCCTTTTTCGTTTGGATTTTTATATCAGATATATTTAATGTTGATATTTATTAGTTCAACAAACATTAACTGAATAACTTTTCTAAAAAACAGGCTTTCAAGACGTCTGCAATATTCTACCTCTAGATTTTCCCTTTTGTTTTTCTTGCCCCTTCTCCCGTGCATGTACCCTCAGACATGTCTGTCCTCCAACAGTATTCTGTTCATCTGTCTTTAAAATTCAAAGCTTTACAGATATTATTAGGCAAAGGCCCTTTATTTTAGGAAACGTAGCTGCATAGCTCAAAAATTAAAATCTTTAGGGCACCCATGTGGCTCAGTCAGGTAAGCATCCGACTCTCGGTTTCAGCTCAGATCATGATCTCACGGATTCTGAGTTCAAGGTTCTGGCACTGACAGTGCAGAGCCTGCTTTGGATTCTCTCTTTCTCTCACTCCCTTCCTCTCTCTCTGCCCTTCCCATCTCTCTCCTTCCCTCCCCCTCCCCAACTCTCCTTCCCTCTCTCCCTGCCTCCCTCTCTCCATACATTCATACACGCACACACACAAACTAACTAACTTAAAAAAACATTAGGGATGCCTGGGTGGATCAGTCAGTTAAGTGTCTAACTTGATTCCAGTTCAGGTCATGGTCTCTCAGTTTGTGAGTCCGAGCCCCACATTGGGTTTTGTGCTGACGGTGCAGAGCCTGCCTGGGATTCTGTCTCCTCTCTCTTTGACCCTTCCCCGCTTGCACACGTGCACTCTCTGACTCTCTTTCTCTGTCTCAAAAAGAAACAAACATTTTAAAATATACATCTTTTTAAATTAAACCTTTATGTTTAATTTTTTTGACATTATCTAGGTTCTTTGTCACTTATTCCATTTCGTAGCTTGGATTTCTGGAACTCTTCAGTCTTTAAGCTGGCTGCAGGAAGCCTATAGATGAAGCCATTTTAATCCCATGGCCCATTGTGGATCTATTTATAAAATGAAAAGGCTTTAAATAGCAGATACCTCAGTGTGAAGTTATTCTTGGTGAAATTTTTTAAAGACCATTTTTTTTTATGTTGGTTCTGTGCAATTAGTATCTTGCCATCTTTTTTTAAGACCAATTCTAATTTCAGAAAATTGAAACTGTTCACATTTGCCATCGATTTTTTATGCATTCTGTCAGAGCTTACTGGAATCATTCTTTTGAATTTAGTGAGTATCAGGAGTTAAAGTAAACCAGTTGCATTCCCTCTTCCTTCTAAACTAGGTCATTAAAGAGATATTTTATTTGGATCTGGTGTGGATCTCCAAATTATTCAGCATATCTCTAATCAAGAATGAGTTCAAGGGGTGCCTGAGTAGCTGTGGGTTAAGTGTCCAACGTTGGCTCAGGTCATGATCTCATGGTTTTTGGGCTAGAGCCCCACATTTGAGTCTGCTGTCAGCGCAGAGTCCACTTCAGATCCTCTCTGTCTCCCTCTCTTTCTGCCCCTCTCCTGCTCATGCACATGCTCTCTCTGTCTCTCAAAAACAGATAAACATTTAATAAAAAGAACTTGAAATTACACTCTAAAGCTGATCTGAATGTTGATTTGACGTGGTTAAAAGAAAACTATTTTGAAGCATCCTTACCATTTTTATCTAAAACGTAAGCTGAGTGCATTGACTATGGTTGAGGTTCTTGCAGGATCACAAGCTTATATTTTGAACATACATCTCAACCTGAAGTCCTGTGATAGAACATGACATGGAATCTGCTGATCCCAGGATCTGTCCCGGATGCAGAGATTTAAGGACTTTTTTTTTTTTTTTAAATTTAAATTCCAGTTAGTCAACATACAGTATAATATTAATTTCAGGTGTACAATATAGTGCTTCAACTTCCATATAACACCTGGTGCTCATCCCAAGTGAACTCCTTAATCCCCATCACCTACTTCATCCTTCCCCACCCTCCCCTTCCCTCTGCTAACCATCAATTTGTTCTCTGTAGGTAAGAGTCTTGGTTTGTCTCTTTTTTTTTCCATTGCTCGTCTGTTTTGTTTCTTAAATTCCACATATGAGTGAAGTCATATGGTATTTGGCTTTCTCCATCTGACTTATTTCATTTAGCACGATACTCTCCAGCTCCACCCATGTTACTGCAAATGGCAAGATTTCATTATTTTTTATGGCGGAGTAATACTCCATCGTGTGTCACACTCTACATCTTTCAGGTTTTTTAGGTTTATTTTGAGCAAGGGAGGGGCAGAGAGAGGGAGAGAGAGAATCCCAAGCAGGCTCTGCACTGTCAGCACAGAGCCCTCTGCACAGTGCTGTGCGAGCCCTCACGAACTGTGAGATCATGAGCCGAAATCAAGAGTCAGACTCTAAACTGACTGAGCCACTCAGGCACCTCTATGCCATAATTTTTTTATCTGTTCGTCAGTGGACACTTGGGCTGTGTATATAACTTGGCTTTTGTAGATAATGCTGCTAAAAACAAGTATTACAAATAATAAGAATTCACGATAGCTGCACTTTCAGTTTTGTTGGAGGAAGACTATTAATTATAAGGAAAGGGAAGTAAAAGGAATTAAACAATTACAGTAAACAAAGAGGGAGAGAAGTATAGAGAACAGAGAAGGCTTAATACATCAAATCAGGTACTTACAATATCCAGCCTTCTGGCTGGGGAAACCCAGTGGTGAGCAGCCTGGTTGGAGTCCTGATTGAGGATCCTGGGCAGAGTGTTCTCCCCTCTGGTGAGATTTCCAACTAGCTACTCGCCCAGGGCAGTATATGTACCACTCAGCATGATTTATGGTTAGTCATTAAGTTTGCCTAAGTGCAGTCCTGAGCAAGCTGTTTTTTTCTGTTTCTCTTATGGTATCACAAATCTTAGGGGGCTGGGTGTTTTCATATTCCTCTTCCCTCCCTGATCCATCCCAGGAGGCCAGGCTGGTCTGGCTCAGGGAGGAATGTGAAGCATGTTAATCCCTCCTGGTGTCAGGAACACAAGGGCCAGTTTTGATCCAGAGGCCAGATACAGAGTATAAGCCAACTAAGCCCCCAAGATTGTGTATGTGCGGCTCTGGGCAAAAATGCCTGTCACACAAACAGCATCTGTACAGAACACCAGGGTGCACGTATGTATCACTTTGTATTACATTCTTTGGGATCGTAGTAGGGTAACTCTATTTTTAACTTTTTGAGGAAACTCCACACTGTTTGCCAGAATGGCTGCACCAGTTTGCACTCCCACCAACAGTGCAAGAGGGTTCTCCTTTCTCCACATCCTTGCCAACACCTGTTGTTTCTTACGTCATTGAGCTTAGCCATTCTTACAAGTATGAGGTGACATCTCATTATAGGTTTGATTTGCATTTCTCTGAGGATCAGTTATGTTGAGCATCGTTCCGTGTGTGTTGGCCATCTGGATGTCTTCAGAAAAACATCTGTTCATGTCTTCTGCCCATTTTTAATTTGGATTACTTGCTTTTTGGTGTTGAGTTTTAGAAGTTCTTTATATATTTTGGATACTAAACATCATTTGCAAATATCCTCTCCCATTCTGTAGGTTGCTTTGTAGGGTTTTTTAAATTTTTTTGTTTCTTTTTATTATTATTATTTTAGAGAGTGCAAGAACAGGGAGAGGGGCAAAGGGAGAGAGAGAGAATCTTAAGCAAAGAGAGAATCGCTAAGCGTGGAGCCCAGCACGGGGCTCGATCCTATGACACTGGGATCATGGCTGAGCCAGAATCAAGAGTTGGATGTTCAACCAACTGAGCCACCTAGGTGCTCTTTCCTTTTAGTTGTGTTGTGTTGATTATTTTCTTTGCTGTGCAGAAGCTTTTTATTTTGATGTATTACCAACAGTTTATTTTTGCTTTTGTTTCCCTTGCCTCTGGAGACATATCTAGAAAGTGGTCTGAGAAGTTTGTTTAAAATCCTTAGCCTCTCTTAACAGTGCTTCTTTCTAGTAAAAAAGCATATTTGGGGGAATTTCTGATTGGACTCTGTTTTATCAGTGTTTCATCATATAATTTTTTACTTTTTAGTCATTGATTTTAACAGTATTTTTGCTCCTTAACATTATGACTATGAATGATAAAGAGCTGATTGTTTTTGTTGTCCTAGTCCGACAGGGTTCTCAAGAGCTTTATTTACAGTGCTGGCCTCTGAATATTAAAGAATTAATTTTAAAGATAAAAATAAATAATTTTTGACAAGCTTTTAAATTTCTAAAAATGAGTTCTTTCCCTCCAGTATTATTTTCTGTTTCTTCTTATAACCGGATAGACCTCTAAAAGATCATAATGAAATACTCCTCCAGAGCCCTTATCAGTGTTTCCGGTAGCGGGTTTGAACCCGTGCGCATGCAGCGTGCTCAGGCACATGTCCATTCTCTGTCGTTGCTCCTTTCCCCGTGGGGGCCCACCAGGTGGCAGGAATATATGAGACTTGTACAAGTTTTCCTGAGCAGTAACAACTTTGGAGGCTCCTTTTAATGCTGTCATGTCTCACTTTAAGCCCATGAGATTTGCTTTCTTATTCTTATGCGATAAAGTCTCATCTCAATATTTTCAGTTTATAATCAGGAGGAAGATTCTTTTTATGTGCATCATGATATACTCCTGTCTGCATACCCTCTAAGCGTGGAGTGGCTGAACTTTGATCCTAGCCCAGACGATTCTGCAGGTAAATAGAAAAGCTAAGATAGCTCAGTGGTTTCTGGTCCAGTATGGGATTCCTAGCCACATAAGTTATGTGTGTCCTGTGTGAATGTTTTCAGAACTGTTGATTTTTTATGAAGTTAATGTTATTTTATGAAGTTACATAGTTCTTAAAACACAATCACTTAGTAGTTTTGAGTCCGTATGTCTCTAGACTTCAGATAAAAAATAGGTAGCTGCCCCACTGTGGGCAGAAGAACAGGGCCTAACAGTAGTAGGCTCTGTAGAACTGGGTGAAGTTTTCAAAATAAAAAACCCAGAATATAAAACAGCGTCATGTGTCCGAGAGTTTAGTGCATGACCTTTTTCAGAAGACATCAAGTAGAACCAAAATGAAGAGAGAATTAGGTTCTCCTGTTAGCCTTTTTAGCCACAGCTGCACACTACTAGTTGTGCCCCTTCCTCCTTAATAAAGGTTAAATCTGGGACTACTCCTACCTTACATCTTGTTGGCCAAGCTTATTCACATTCATGATCTGATTAGATCCTCCTGCTCCTCACAACACTGGTGAAGGTGGCAGAGGGTTTCTGTTCTCCTGACCTAAGTGAGGACCCTGTTATTCAACACTGTCTGAGGACCAGCAGCACAGTATTGGCATCACCTGGGAACCGGTCAAAAGTGCAGGCATAGGGCCCCACTCAAGACTTCCTGAAACAGAATACGCAGTTTAACCATATTCAGGTGATAGCGCGTGCTATGAAGTCTGAGAGAAACTGCTCTGAGCCATTATATCTATAGTAAAGTATTTTTCACTAGAAGTTTTTAAATCAAACACCTCGTTTCCTCCTGTAGGAAATTATATTGCTGTGGGAAATATGACTCCCGTTATTGAAGTGTGGGACCTTGATATAGTGGACTCTTTAGAGCCAGTCTTCACACTTGGAAATAAGCTATCAAAAAAGAAGAAAAAGAAAGGAAAGAAGGTAAACAAGTTAATTACTTAAAACTCTAATGACAGATAAATTTTCTGGTAGGTGAGAGAAAGAGAACATAAGCTTTTTCAGTTAGACACTTCAGTGGAACAGGCAGATGGTTATGAAGTTACTAAGTTTCTAGTTTAAAAAAGCCCACCCCAGAAGAAATTGATCTCTGATTGCACAAAACTTCCATTGGTACGTTTTTCATCCTTATACAAAACAGTTTGCTCTCCGGTTATGATCCTTTTTGATAGGTGGTAACTATTCACACTAATATGCCGATTTTGAACTTTGGAAAAATCTGTTTAGCCTTTAGTATGTTGAATTCCAAATATCCATGGTATTAATTCCTGTAGCTTTAAAAACTTGACTTTGGGGGTGGGAGGGTGATATTTATAGAACTGCACCACTTAGATTAAGAACGACTACAGTCTCTCCTCTGTAAAGAGTATTTATCATGGATCTCTAAAGGAATAGGAAGACAGGGTATTTCTTTCTCTAGGTCTTCATGTTTGCCTAAGATCAAACAATAACCTTAAGATTGAAAGAATCTTTCAAATTAACCTATCAATTACAGGGGGCACTTTCATACAAAAAGTAATTAAACAATTATTACAGAGTTCCTCAGCCGAGGGGCACACCGATGCTGTCCTGGACCTTTCTTGGAATAAGCTGATCAGGTAAAAAGCACATTTGGAGGATTGTTAGAGACTGTGACCATTGTCATCTTACCTCATGTCTTCACCTGTCTCTGCGTGCTGCTTGGGGGTCTCTGTGTCCCTGTCTTCCTCCCCTTTCCTGCAGTATGCCCACTTGAAGGCAGGAGCTCTGCTGCCTGTCCTTGGGGCCCCCACACCACCTGCCAGCCCTGCGCTTGGTAGGGGTTCAGGCTCGTTGCGTACGTGGTGAGCAGGCGCCCTCCCCAGCACCACTGGGGAGAAGTGTGTGTGCTGCGGCACCCACAGGGCCAAACTCTCTTTTCCTGGGAGACAATGCCCTCACTTCATTTAGTTTTCACAAAGTCTCTTCCACATTCCTTAAATTTTATGTAATTGTAAAATATGCATAATATTTACCATTTTTAACTATGTTTTAAGTGTACAGTTCTCTGTTATGCAGCCATCATCATCATCCAACTCCAGAACTTTTTTCATCTTCTAAAACTGAAACTATGTGCCCATGAAACACCAGCTCTCCGTTCTGGCCGCCCCCAGGCACTAGGGACCCACCACTCTGTTTCTCTGAATGGACTCCTCCGATTACCTCATATGGGTGGAATCCCAGTACCTGCCCTTTTGTGACTGACTGGCTTCTTTCACTTAGTCTGAGGTCATCCATGTTATAGCATGTGGCCAAGTTTCCCTCCTCTCTGAGGCTGAAGGATACTCCATTGTACGGATAGTGCACATTTTGTCCATAAATCTGTCCATGGATACTTGAGTTGCTTCTGCCTCCTGGCTGTTGTGCGTAATGCTGCTGCTGTTCTGCACATTGATGTAAATAGAACATGGGTGTACAAAAATCTGTTTACAGCCCCAGCTATCAGTTCTTCTGAGAACTGAAAAGTTCAAACCCAAAAGTGACATTGCTGGATCATGTGGCAATTCTGTTTACCTTTTTGAGGAGCACTCTTCAAGTGCTTATTGGCCACTTGTGTATCTTTGGAGAAACATTGATTCCTTTGCCCATTTTTGAAATTGAGTTGTTTGGTTTTTTATTGAGTTGTAGTTCTTCATAAATTCTGCATATAATCTCTCATCAGGTTTGCGATTTGCAAATATTTTCCCCCATTTGGTGGATTGCCTTTAACTCCTTTGATACTGTTCTTTGGTGCACAGAAGTTTTTAGTTTTGATGTAGTTAATTTATTTTTACTTTTGTTGCCTGTGCATTTAGTGTTCTGTCCAAGAGGTCATTGCCAAATCCTTGCCATGAAGCTTTTCCCTTAAGAGTTTTACAGTCTTAGCTCTTGGGTTTAGGGGTCTGATCCATTTTGAGTTCATTTTTATATACAGTTTAAGAGTTCCATTTTATTCTTTTTGCATGTTTTATCTGCATATCCTTTACACTCATCCATAAACAAGTGACCCCAAAAGGCCATTTTCCTAATAGCGTAGTCAGCTTGAGAGGCTACTAAGGCAAGAAAGGTAAGCAATCGATTGAGGGATAAAAACAAAGTGGATTGCCCGAGGCACATTTTCTTAACATTTCTGTTACACTGGATGCTTTGGAATTTTGAGCATTCTAAGGAGGATCCCAGAGTGCTAGCTTACCAAGGGACATCCTGCATCTGTTTGTGTTCAGACCTCTTCAGAGTTAGAACCATTTGTTGAAATGGACCCAAGAAAGTCGTTTAGGTTAGTATTTCCCAAACTTAACCTGCCAGTCAGAATCTTCTGGATGACCCTTTAGAGTCCAAGTTCTCGGGCTCTCATCCCCTCAAGATTGAGTCAGATCTGGAGCAAGGGCCCAAAACTGTTGTGCTTTGTTTTATTTTGTTTTTGAAAGCTTCCCCAGGTTTTGTCTAAATTGGGCCTGTTGCTGACAAATGGGCAGATGAATAAGAGATTGAATATGCGCATACTGTGCTTTTAGGAATCTGCTCATTTATAAATCTGAACTGTCACAGTAATTACATAAACTAAATTCTAATCGTATAGCAGCTGTTACTTTGCATAACTGAAACTTTGTTCTGATGGAACAGCCCTCATCATCCAAGCTGATTCCGCATCCCTGTCCCCAGTCAAGGTGGCTCCCTCGTTCCGCTCACATACAGCCAACCCCCCTGCTCCTGCCCCGCCTCATCTGCGCCCACATCTCCCTCACTGCAGTGCCACATGTGTCTTCGTTCTGTAACTCTTCTACTTTCTACCATCCTATTTTAGACCTGGGTCTTCCTTTACCAAAATAGTGCAGAGTGTTTTAAATACTTTCCAGCCTCTGATGCATAGAGTTTGGGATCATGGTGAAGGATAACGTGATGCTGTCCTAGTTGGGGACCCTGGTTTCTAGTAAAACGCTCCCAGTGACAAAATGCATGTCCTCTGCTTGTACTCTCATTGAAGAGTGCTCTTCTTGGGAATGTAGCATTTGGGAGTTTTCTGGGGGGTATTTATTTTTAAACCTACAAGAAGAATTTTAATTAGAAAGAATTAAAAGAATTAAATGGAAAGAATCTCAGATGTTTGGGAAAGGATAAGAATGAAAAAAAATGTACCATGAAATTTTTAACTTTTTGCTGTTAGCAAGCATTGAATATAAGTAAAATATTGGGAATTTAACATTTAGTCTTTGAACATGCCAAGCACATAAAACATTAATGGCTTGTATATGTATGGGACTTAACAGAAGCTTTGAAATTCATTGAGTAGGGAAAGAGCTAACATGATCTGAGTACACATGATCATCTTAAAGAGAACCCTACCTGTGTCACTGAAATGTGAGTTAATAAAACTGAAAGCAGTTTGTATAATGGAAATATTTCTTGAGGAAATAATATCCAAAAATGAACCCATTGACATTTTAACAGCATACTAGTTTTCTTAACAAAGAATACTATGACTAATGACTTGATTCTGTGTCAAACAATTTCAAACTAGACATTGAAGAATGAGCTTTCAATTTCAGGAATACCTATATTCCTACAAGGAGAAAAGGCAGGCAACTAACATTTATCAGGGGTCTACCATATTCTCAGCCATGTGCTTGAATTACTTTAAAATTGGTTGTAGCTTTCTCATTGGCAGGCAGGGAGGTGTGACTAACTTTTAAGTCTTTAGCTAAGTCTTATAGTTAATAAATGACAGCACCAGAAATCCATCTCAGGTTTTCTGGGCTCCAAGCCTGTGTTCACTTGTAATAACTACATTATTAGTGCTTGATCCCTAAGAGATAGGCATATTGGTTTTTCCTATTAATAGCATTTAATGCTCTTTTTTTTTTTAAGTTGAAATATAAATTTACATTGTCCTAAAATTCACTCTTTAAAGTGTACAATTCAGTGATTTGGAGTATATTCCCAAGGCTGTACAACTATCACTAGTGTCTAAGTCCATAACACTTTTATCCAAAAAGCAATCCAGTCCGTTAACAGTCAGTCATTCCCTTGTCCTTCCAGCCCCTGGCAACCCCCGATCTTCTTCCTGTCTCTGTGGACTTGACTGTTCTGGACATGCCTAGAAATGGAATCCTAGAATATGTGGCCTTCTGTTTCTAGATTCTGTTACTTTGTATAATCTTTTCAAGGTCCATCCTATTGTAGCATTTATCAATACGTCATTCCTTTTTATTGCTGAATAATAGTCCCTTATATGGATATATACACCGTATTTTGTGTATCCATTCACCAGTTAATAGACATTGGTTTGTATTTGCTTTTTGCCTGTTATGAGTAATGCTACTGTAAACATTCGTGAACAGATTTTTGCACAGACCTGTGTTTTCATTTTCTAGGATATGTACCTAAGAGCATAATTGTTAGGACATATGTTAATGTGTGTACCATTTACATTCCCACCAGCAGGGTAGCTAATTTTTCTGTTTCACTAGCACTTCTTGTCTTTTTCATTATAGCCATCCTATGAATATGATGGTATCCCATGTCTTCATTTCCCTAATGAACAACTTTTCACATGTTCACTGGCTATTTATAGATCTTTAGAGAAATGTCTATTCATATTCTTTGCCCAAATTCTAATTGGGTTATTTGTCTTTTAACTGTTTAGTTGAGAGTCCTTTATATATTCTAGAATCAGGTCCTTTATTATCAGATACATGATTTACAGATATTTTCTTCGATTCTGTGGATGGTCTTTTCACTTTCTTGATGGTATCATTTGCAATACAAAATACATGTTGATGATGTTTAATTTATTTTTATTTTTTGTTGCTTAGGCTTTTCGTGTCATATCTGAGAAACCATTGCCTAACCGAGGGTTACAAAGATTTATGCCTGTTCTCTTCTGAGAGTTTTATACTTTCAGCTCTTACACTAGTAGATCCATGATCTCTTGAGCATAGTTGAGATAGGGGTGTAACTTCATTCTTTTGTGTGGAGATATCCAGCTGTCCCTGAACCATCTGTTGAAAATACTGTTCTTTTCCCCACTGACCAGTGAATAATCTGAACTTTCTTGTCAGAAACAAATGACCATAAATTTGAGGGTTTATTTTTCATTCTATTCTGTTAACTTGTATGTCTGTCCTTAAGCCAGTAGCACATCATTAGGATTATTGTGGCTTTTCAATCCATTTTGAAATCCAAACTGTGAACTTACCAGTTTTGCTCTTCTTTTCCAGGATTATTTTGGCTATTCTGAGTCCCTTGCATTTTCATATGAATTTTAAAATAAGCATGTTCGTTTTCTGGGGGAAAAAAAGTCTGCAGGGATTTTGAAAAGGATTAGTTGAACCTCGATCAGTCTGTAGATGGCAGTATTTCTGTCTTCACAATATTGTCTTCCAGTCCATGAACATGGGATATCTTTCCATCCATCTAGATACTCTTGCGTTCAGTAATCTTTAGTGGTTTTATATATGAAGTTTGAATTCTTTTTTTTAAAATCAATTGTTTTATTCCTTTTGTTGTTATTGAAAATAGAATTCTTACATTTAGTGCTCCTGACTTTAAAAAAAAAATTACCTGAGTTTTCTCCTCCCCTTCTCAGAAACGTGTTGGCAAGCGCATCAGCTGATAACACTGTCATTCTGTGGGATATGTCCTTGGGGAAACCAGCAGCTAGCCTTGCTGTACACACAGACAAGGTATGGTGATTGAGTGGATAAATGGTTTCTAAAAAATCTAGCTACAGATAATCCCAAACATTTATATATGGCTTTTTGTGAATTTACATTGACATACTCCCTTATTGGATCTTTTCGCATTACTATCTTATCTCACAGAGCCTGTGTGATAGTTAGAATTACCCACCTTAGAGATGCAAACATGAAGACAGAAAGATGAAGTGACGGGAAACACTAGTACCTTGTAGCATGTTTACAGAGACTCCTAAAAAGAGGGGTGTCAGTCACCAGATGAGGTTAAAGAACGTCACAGATCTGTTACTGCAGAACCCAGGGATCTAATGTGCTGGTGTACACTGTGGGCCTTCTGGAGTGTGCGGAGTTGTCCAGTTAAGTTTGACCTTTCCCTTTTTTGTTCTGCACATATTTTAACATTTGAGGGACCTCTACATTCTGCCAAACACAACTTGAGAAATGCTGCATTATGTCTTTTAAGTGACTGCTTTTATTTGAAAATGTGTTGTGTCCTTTTGACTATGTAGACCATTTGTTTCTTTAAATAGTACTACATTTCAAAGGAAAAAAATACAGAAACGTTGCCAAATTGATTCTCTTGAGTATTAAGTAGTTTTACCAAAACCAAACAAACATGTATCTGTTCATTTATGTTTCCTCCATTTAGGTCCAGACTCTGCAGTTTCATCCATTTGAAGCACAGACTCTGATTTCCGGATCCTATGATAAGTAAGAAAACACTACAGGAGTTATACCTGCTTTTTTATCCTCTTGATCTAATTCAAAAAGTATCACTTGATGCTCAGACAATATATTACTGTTTAAACTTTTAGTAATGCTTATTATTCCCTTTCAACTTTGGTTCTTTCACTCTGCACGGGAATGTGTTTCATAATAATGTAGTTCCTAACTAGCAACTACTTTGATTTTTAGAGGGTGTATGAGTTAGCCATTGCTATGAAACAAGCTATCCCAAAACTCAATGACTTAAAATAATAAGCATTTATTTCCTATACCACTGCTAAATTGAGCTAATCTAGGCTAGACTCAATGAGGAGTCTCTTAATCTTGGCTTATATTGGTAGGGCCATGAAGATTTGTCTCTCCTTGTGTTTCACATCCTCATGGAACCAGTGGGCTGACCCACACATGTTCTCAGGCTGAAGTCAGGGGCTTAAGCAGAGATACCAAGGCCTCTTGAGACCTAGGTTCAGAACTAATATACTTTTGTCTTTTTCTTGGCTGAATGAGATGACATGGAGTGGGAAATGAACTCTTTCTTTATGGAAGGATTCCAGCATTACTGACTGAGGGCATGGATTTAGGGAGAGGTGAAGAGTTAGACCCATTACAGTCCATCACAGGGGGTTTCTAGTCGTGTGTGTGTGCGTCTTTTTACAGATTGGTCTGACGGTAGAGATAGCTAATAGAAGCAGAAAATAACTAGCAGTCTTTGATTTCTTTTTTTTTTTTTTCTTAATCTATTTTGAGATAGAGATCACAAGCAAGTGCACTTGGGAAAGGAGCAGAGGGAGAGAGCATCCCAAGCAGGCTCCGCACCATCAGCATGGAGCCCCATATGGGGCTCGAATCGACAAACTAAGAGATCATGACCTGAGTCAAAGTCATTTGCTTAACCAACTAAGCCCCCCAGGAGCCCTGGGTTCCTTATTCTTTTGAAGAGTGATCGGTTTATACTTTTTAGTTGGGATTCATTCAGAATCACAGAAGTATATCCATTAGGTCCCCCAACACAGTAACCTACTTGTAGAGAGTAAATGTAGCTCAAATGTGGGTTACCTGGCTCTGAGCACTGCCGGGAAAGGGAAACTAGAAGTTGTCCTGGTCTTTTGGAAACAGGGAGGATTCATCTTGCAAGTAGAGGGTTCAGCCCAGAGATAGTCAAGGCTACTCTGATATCCAGAGCCACCAGTGGCTTCAAGTGACAGGACCAGAGTCCACCAGCTAGTGAAAATCAATTCCTCTTTTCTGCTTTATTTTAGAACCTTAAAACAAGCTTTAAATAATTGGATCTCGAGTTCACAGTGTTGTTTTATTACCATTGATTTTAAATAAACATACAACACATAGAAGAATTGAACTCTTGGGGCGCCTGGGTGGCTTAGTCGGTTAAGCGTCCGACTTTCGCTTAGGTCACGATCTCGCGGTTCGTGGGTTCGAGCCCCGCGTCGGGCTCTGTGCTGACTGCCAGCTCAGAGCCTGAAGCCTCCCTCAGAATCTGTCACTCCCTCTCTCTCTGACCCTCCCCTGCTCACGCTGTCTCTCTCTCTCCNGAGCCTGAAGCCTCCCTCAGAATCTGTCACTCCCTCTCTCTCTGACCCTCCCCTGCTCACGCTGTCTCTCTCTCTCCCTCCTGGAAATAAATAAAAAAAAAAAAAAAAAAAGAAGAATTGAACTCTTAAAACCCTAACTCTGCTTGTCTGTGTTCAGGTCAGTGGCTTTGTACGACTGCCGAAGTCCAGATGAAAGCCATCGGATGTGGCGTTTCAGTGGTCAGATTGAGAGAGTGACTTGGAATCACTTTTCACCTTGTCATTTTTTGGTAAGACTGTTTTGCTTATCCAGGTTACTAATGACTAAGAGGGAGAATCCCAAGCAGGCTCCACAGTGCCAGGGCAGAGCCTAAAGCAGGGCCTGAACTCAAGAACCTTGAGATTATGTCCTGAGCAGAAACCAAGAGTCGGATGCTCAACTGACTGAGCCACCCAGGCGCTCCAGTAATGACTTATGTTAATTCCACTGTAGAGAGAATCTCTGAAAAGCTTTTTCTGTTTTGTGTTTTGATTTTTGAGTAGGCTCCGCATGGGGCTTGAACTCATGACACTGAGATTGAGAGTTGCATGCTCTCCAACAGCCTGCAAGGCACCCTGTTTTTCTGTATTAACATCGTGAAGTATTTACATTTTAAGATAAATATGTTTTTAACAATGGATTAGCCACAAATAAACATGTAAATGATTTTATTAATGTGTTTTTTGAAACATTAAGCATGGTTAATTAGTCTAAGAGGATATTCTTTTATTTAAATTAAATGGAGTTCCAGTGATGCGAATACTAGCTTATTGAATTAATGTTAGTCTCCTAAGTGGGGAAAAAAGTGTAAGTTCTATAAATACCCTTAATATGTGTGGGATAAATTTTCTGTGTGGTATCTAAAGATTCCACTGAAATTTCAATCCAAATAAAATCCCAGTTTTCATCCAGAAGATTAAAGGAAGTGTGACACATCCATATATTTCCTAATTTTCATAAAGTACATATCTAATGCTTTATAGATTTATAAATGAGAGAAAAGCTGCTTTCTTAAATATGTGGATGGTTTTAATAAGGTTCCTGAAATAGTAATCCTGAGAACCCTTAATCTCAACTGTGTCCAGAGGTGCAGTATCAACTCCCAGCTGAGTTACCTGAAGCCAGACTCCAGCTGAGGAGTGAGGTCCTAGTTGTATTTGAATATCGTGTTATACTTTGGCTCTCGACACTCCAGCACGCATTTCCTGAGGTTATTTGCTGACAAGCTGTCATTGGTACTAAAATTACAAATATTGAGGAAAATGGGAAGTGATTAAAATAAAATAGTATAACCTCCTTCCCTCATCTCCCAAGGGTGAGACCTCTGTCCTGTTTTTTCCCCTTCCACAACCCAGGCTTCAACACTGTGTCACTTGTCCTTTCTTCCTCCCTTGTTCCTATAATGGCTGTTGCCCTCAGCCTATGTATAGGCTCTCTCCAGTCCTTGACTAGGTCTATCCCTTGGTTCCTTCTTTTCTCTCCCTTTCTTGGAAGTGTAACAACCCCCTGCTGCCTTCCAGTTCTTATCTGATTAAACCTTTCAACCAAAATGTTGACACCATTCATCACTTTTCTTCAGAAGCACGATTTCCTTGGCTTCCCTGACCTTTGTTATGCCCTTCAGCCTCTTTGATTCTTCTTTGAGCACCTCATCAATGCGTACCTTAAATGACTGTGCCCCCCCCAGGCCTCTGTTCTCTCGAATCTCACCTCTGTTTCCACATCTCTAACTGTAGTCCATACCATGACCAGAGCTTCATCCTCATACGCAACTATAGAGTACACGTACTGGATTAGTCCACATAGGAACAAATTCAGCTATCCACAAGTAAATTTTGGATTTCACCATAACTTATATTGTTTACCCATTACTAAATTTTATTGCCATGTAGCATGATTTTGCCCATCTTTTACTCTTTCTAGGCCAGCACAGATGACGGCTTTGTATATAATCTGGATGCACGTTCAGATAAGCCAATTTTTACACTTAATGCACACAATGATGAAATCTCTGGTGAGCAATAACAGTGTTTCATTTCTTTTAACTTCTGTTGAAGTAAATCTATGTCAGAGTCTGAGCTAATCTTATATCTTCCTTTAGGTCTTGATCTAAGTAGTCAAATCAAGGGCTGTCTTGTGACAGCATCAGCAGACAAATATGTGAAAATCTGGGACATATTAGGAGACAGGCCAAGTCTGGTTCACTCCAGGGACATGAAAATGGTAAGACTCTGGGCATCTTTCTTCTCTGCTTTTTTCTGTTTCTGACCTGTATTGATCATCTTTCCCTAGGAATCACTGCATTAAAGAATGTGGATTTGGGGCACCTGGGTGGCTTAGTTGGTTAAGCGTCCGACTTTTGCTTAGGTCATGATCTCGCGGTTCGTGGGTTTGAGCCCCGCGTCGGGCTCTGTGCTGACTGCCAGCTCAGAGTCTGGAGCCTGTTTCAGATTCTGTGACTCCGTCTCTCTCTGACCCTCCCCTGCTCACGCTGTCTCTCTATCCTAGAAATAAATAAAACATTTAAAAAAAAAAAAAAAGAATGTGGATTTGTTGGGAAGTTAATTTTGAGCTTAGTTGAATTTGGTGGGACGTTTATGACCTAGTCTTTGATTTCCCCTAAAACTGTCCTATCTGGCTCCTTTCCCAACTTACATGATCAACAGTTGCTTGGTAAGAAGAGTAGAAAGAGGATTTTCTAGGACTCAAGTGAAATGGCCATGGTTTTCTTTTTTAACTCTAAATTGAGGACCATCTCAGGAAAGCTTGGGCCTTTAGGGCATTGCAGCTATTAGGGTCAGTTTATTATCACCACCTCTTTGCATAATTAGTTTTGACTACACTGAAATTGATTACTATGTAGTAGGAAAAATTTAGAAATAACCAGAATTCATTTAGCAAATACCTAAATGCCAGGCGCTGAGTTATATAATTGCATATGTAGATGTTTACAAATCTATGTGAGAAGGTAGGTTACAGACACAATTATATAGTACTGTCCCATGCTTATATTTAAATGCTTAAGTCCTTAGAAGACCTTGTCCCAAAATTATCTTAGCGGTTTTTATACTTTTTCGTATTTATATTTTCCATAATGCATATGTATTACCTCGTAGTAAACATTAAAAAATTAGAAGTTTAAAAAATGTAGTAACATTATTGTTTAAAAGGGGAAAAAAAGTTTCTGGGAATACTGAGCAGTTTAGAGACCTGAGTGGTCAGAATGCACATACCCTCACAGAATAGCCATGTCATGCTGAACTTTCTGGCTTCATCTTGTAATATTCCTTCCACCTTGACTCTGAACTACTTCACAGGAAGCTTAAAAGAGATACTGGTGAGTTGGTTCTGTTATCATTCAGATAGGTTCGTGTAGATAGGAGCAGGGGTTTAGATTGCGGCTTTCTGGAAATACTGAAATCACTGACCTGTTTTCTTCTTCCCAGGGAGTTCTCTTCTGTTCTTCCTGTTGTCCTGATTTGCCCTTTATTTATGCCTTTGGAGGTCAGAAAGAAGGGCTTCGGGTATGGGATATAAGCACAGTTTCATCAGGTAAGAATCTTAATTTCCTTTTTCTGAACGAGTTCTATACAGGCTAACAGAATATGTGGCCTGAGTATATTCTGTAGATCCAGTGTTCATCCTGTAATGTAGTCTGCTTGGGAAATAGACAGATCACATGTAACTTGGAGATGTTCAGATTCACAAATAAGTTCACAATTTAAATGTAAACGGTTTCAAAAATACTGTCTTTATGACAAAATTTGAATTTATGGAAAAGCTAGAAGGGAATGTAACATGGTCTCAAAGAACAGCCTCCCCTTTGCAGGGTGAATCATCTGCCTTTTCTCAACTACTTGCTACAAAGTCCTGCTTTCCTTAAGAGACCACTCACCTCCCTTCAGGGGAACCCGGCTGCTTATTTATTACATGGAGTTAATCCAGTTTGTCCTATAAACACGGAAGACATAGCTCCACTGATTCCCAAATCTTCCATGTAGAGAAAAGAAAATCCATCAAAAGCTCTCTGCTGGTTATGATACAGAAAAAGATGAAAGAAAAAATATTCACTTTGTCAAGGTTGATTAAATAAATCGAGGACAAAGAACAGAATAAATGTAGAACAATCTAAAACACAATTAACCTCATTCAGAATGTTAACTTGGACTTCTTGGTTATTTCATTTCCCATTTAATTCCACACAACGGCAGAGAATTCTACTGTTCATCTCTACATCTCTATATTTTATATTATAGGTTCTTAATTTTTTGATCTGGTAATTTAACTGTTATTTGTGTTTTAGTAAATGAAGCATTTGGAAGACGAGAGAGGCTTGTTCTTGGCAATACAAGAAGTTCATCTATCAGTGGCCCTTTTGGGAGCAGGACCTCAGACACACCAATGGAGTCTTAATGAGGATCATAAAATTTTTATTATCTTAACTCAGTTTTTTTTTTTTTTTTAAAGCTGGCCTAAAAACATCCATGTATGGCTACAGCCATGTAGTGACTGGAGCAAATCGCATTTCCTACTGTCAGACATTCCCTGCAGCTTGGGGGCAGCACAAACAGGGGTGGTCTTTGTGCCTGCCTTTAGGACTCCTACTGCATTTCTTGAAGAGAATAATAAAAACAAAAAAGGTTTTTAAAAACTAATTCCTTAAAAATGCCATCTGTATAGGAAACTAGGTTTGTAAAGTACATTTATGGAATTTTAGAAGAAAATCCTCTAAAAGCAATGATTTGGCCAAGATTTCACACTAACCATGAACCCCCAGAAATTGCTCTTCCTGACTTGACTGTTCTCCAGTTAATGTTCATGATTTTAAAAGTGTTCTCAGTGCTACTCCTAAAAGTTCAGTAACTAAATTAAAAGTGGCCTGACATTCCCCCCCCCCGCCAGCATGTATTCATTGTTATCAAAGAAAAGGGGCATGACATTATGGTGATGTCAGTCCAAGAGGTTAGAACATCCATAAATATCATAGGAGCACTAAACATAAAGCAAACGTTAACAGACAGACCTAAAGGGAGAAATAGCAATACAATAATAGTAGGGGACTTTGGCCTTAACAGACATATACAGAACATTCCCTCCAAAAGCAACAGAACATACATTCTTCTCAGGCACACATGGAAAAGTCTTCAGGATAGATCACATGAACCACAAAAAAAGTATTAATAAAAAAGTCAATAAATTTCAGAAAATTGAAATACCAAGTATCTTTTCTGACCACAGTGGTATGGAACTGGAAAATTTGCACATACATGGAACTAAATAACATGTTACTGAATAGCCAATAGGTCAAAGAAGAAATTAAAAAATACCTTGGGACAAATGGAAATATACCAAAATTTCAGGGATACGGCAAGAGCGGGTCTAAGAGAAGTTCACAGTAATAAATGCCTGTATCAACAAACAAGCTCTCAACCTAATTTTACAACTCAAGGAACTACAAAAAAAGGAACAAAGCCCAAAGTTAGGAGGAGGAAGGAAATAAAGATCAGGGTGGAAACATGAAATAAAAGCTAAAAAGAAAAGATCAAAGAAACCAAGAGCTGGTTTTTTGGAAAAATTGACAAACCTTTAGCTAGACTAAGGTAAGGAAAAAGTATGCAAAATCAGACATGAGAAGGAAGTTAACTGGTACACCACCAAAATACAAAGGGTCATAAGAGACCTGTATGAATAGTTATAGTACAACAGATCAGACAACTAAAGGAAATGAAAGAATCCTCAAAATATACTACCTACCAAGTCTCAATCATGAAGATGAAAATCTGAAGGGACCAATTACTAGTTAGATTGAATCAGTCATCAAAAACTTCCCAATAAACAAAAATCAAGGACCAGACAGCTTCACTCATGAATTCTACCAAACATTTGAAAAAGCATACCTAACCAATCCTTCTCAAACTCTTCCAGAAAATTGAAGAGAAGGGAATACTTTAAACTTCTTTGATAAGGCCAGCATTACCTTGGTATTAAACTAGAAAAGGATGCCACAAAATTATAGACCAATATCCTGATGAACAACAGGTGCAAAAGTCCTCAAAATAACAAAACTCAACAGAAGGATCATACATCATATTCAAGTGGGATTTACTCCAAGAATGCAAGCGTGGCACAATACCTGCAAATTAATAATACATCTCATTAACAGGATAAAAATAGGGTCATTTAATAGATGCAGAAATAATGTCTGATAAAATTGAATATCCATCATAAAAATGGGTTAGCAGAAATGTATCTCAATAAAGGCCATATATTACACGTGTACAACCAGCATGTTGGGTGAAAAGCTGAAAGCTTTCCTCTAAGATCAGAAACAAGACAAAGATGCCACTCTCCCGACTTTTATTCAACATAGTATTGAAAGCCCTAACCAGGGCGAATAGACTCCGGAAAAATAAAACTAGGTAAGACCACCAAAAAACCTAAAACTAATAAAGTTCAGTAAGATTCCAGCATGAAATAATCAATATACAGAAATTTGTTTTATTTCTATACACTAACAATGAGCTGGCAGAGAAGTTTCTTAATCCTATTTACATTTGCATCAAAAAGAACAAAATAGGAATTTAACCAAACAGGCCTATGCACTGCTATAGATTGCTTTGGGGTGTGAAAATAGAATGTCCACACCCCAAAGCAATCTATAGCAGTGCAATCCCTATCAAAATTCCAGGGGCATTATTCATAGAAATAATCCTAAAATCTGTGTGGAACCACAAAAGACCCCAAAGAGCCAAAGCAATCTTTTAAGACTTACGGTAATCTCTACACCCCACATGGGGCTCAAACCCACAACTCCCAGATCAAGAGTAGCACACTCTACTCTTGAGCCAGCCAGGATCCCATAGCCAAAGCAATCTTGGGAACAACAAAGCTGGAGGCATCATACTTTCTGATGTTAAACTATATTACAAAGCTACAGTAATTAATACAGTATTAGCATAAAAACAAGCACAGAGATCAATGAAACAAAATAGCCCAGAAATAAGCCTACACATACATGGTCAATGCACGGCAAAGGAACCAAGAATATACAATGGGGAAGAGTCTCTTCAATAAATGATGTTGGTTAAACTGGATGGCTCCATGCAAAAAGGTGAAACTGGACCACTATCTTAACACCACATATATAAACTAATTCAGTGGATTAAGACTTGACCATAAGACCTAAAGTCATAAAACCAGAACATAGGTGGTAATCTTGACATTGGTCTTGGCAATGATTTTCTAGATCTGACACCAAAAGCAAAGGCAACAATAAAAAAAAAATTTTAAATGAGGTAACATCAAATTAAGCTTTGGCACAGTGAAGGAAACCACCAACAAAATGAAAATGCAACCTACACAATGGGAAAAAAAATACTTGGAAATCATCTGGTAAGGCATTAATATCCAAAATACATAAAGAACTCCTACAACTCAGTGGCAAATAAAAAGTTTTATTAAAAGTGGGTAGAGCACTTGAACATTTTTCAGAAAGATATACAGACGGCCACAGGTACATGAAAAAGTGCTCACCATCACTAATCAAAAAAAAAAAAATGTAAATCAAAACCACAGTTAGTACCTTACATTCATTAGAATGGCTACTGTCAAAACGAACTGTGTTACAAGAGTGGAGAGAGGGGAGCCCTTGTGCACTGTGGATGAGAATGTAATTTGGTGCAGCCACTATAGAAAACAGTACATTATAGAGGATCTTCAAAAATTAAAAATAGAACTATCATATGATCCATCAAGTTTACTTCTGAGAATTTATGGAAAGGAAACAAAAACACCAACTCAAAAACATATCTACACTGCCATGTTCATTGCAGTTTTATGACAGCTTTATAACACATACTGCAGTATTATTCAGCCATAAAGAAAAGAAGGAAATCTTGCCATGTGTAACAACATGGATGGGCCTTGAGGGCATAAATTGTGCTAAGTGAAATAAATAGAGAAAGACAATACCATATGATCTCTCATATGTAGTATCTAATTTATTTTTAAATCTGAGCTCATAGATACAGAGAATAGACTCGTGGTTGTTATAGGTGGGGGCTGGGTGAAATGAGTGAAGGTGGTCAAAAGGTACAAACTTCCAGTAAGTCATGGAGATGTAATGTACAGCATGGTAACTATAGTTAGTTAATAATAAATACTGTATTTTATATTTGAAAGTTGCTAAGATAGATTGTAAATGTTCTCATACAAGAAAATCTGTAAGTATATGAACTGATATTAGCTAGAGTTGTGAAAATTTCACACAATATATACAAAAATCTAATCTTAATGTCCTATAACTGAAACTAATATAATGTTATATGTCAATTATATGTCATTTTAAAAAGTGAATGTGAAATGAAACAAAGTAAAGATTGTTCTCTGAAGCAAAAGACAGTGTATCTTAACTGCTTCTGTCATGGGTCAAAGTATATTCTCTCAAATGACTACTTTTTCCAACACTAACTTCCTCTCCCCCCAAATGAGTTAAATATAACAAAAAAGAAATTGTATATGATGACATTAAAAGCAAATGAAACAGGAACTCTACAGTAGATTAATTGGGAAGTACCCTAAAACAAAACCTGCAAGGAAATCGGAAGCAAGACTGGGCAGAGGGAAAAGCTCAACCATTATGAAGTTTCAACAGATGTCCCTTGCAGATCTCTAGTTCCAAAGCTGAAATGACCTGGGGCGCCTGGGTGGCTCAGTCGGTTGAGCATCCAACTTTGGCTCAGGTCATGATCTCACAGTTCGTGGGTTTGAGCCCACATTGGGCTCTGTGCTGACAGCTAGTTCAGAGCCTGGAGCCTGCTTGTGATTCTGTGTCTCCCTCTCTCTCTGACCCTCCCCTGCTCATGCTGCCCCCCTCTCTCTCAGAAATAAATAAAAACATTTAAAAATATTTAAGAAAAGCTGAAATGACCCTTCACAGAAGTCCTAACTGAGGTACTGTGGCTGAGACATACTCCCATCTCAACTCCTCATTTAGTTGAGGCCATCTTCCAAGCAAGGCAGCTGCCATAAGCTGAGAGCCATTGCCAGAGAAAGATTCAGCTGTGAGCAGTCACTAGCGAGCACCTCTGGAAAGAGCTTATTCATGAACAGGATTCTAGGGGGTACATTCCAGCAACCATTACACAACAGTTCAACATCTATTTCCACAAATGCTGGATGGAAATACAGGTCATAGAAAGCCCAGAGGTACTGAGGAAGGAAGTCATTGAGAAAATAATGTACCAATAGCTAGGAGAAAACATAAACCCAGAAAGGAACCTGGCATTTGGGACAATTTATTCCCTAAGAATATTGTGGATTCCATGTTGGGATGAGCACTGGGTGTTATAATGGAAACCAACTTGACAATAAACTACTTAAGAAAAAAATAAAATAAAATAAAAAAATAAACCAGAAAAAAAAAAAAAGAATATTGTGGATTCCAGAAAGTGATGAAGAGTCTGAGAAAATGAGCATAGATTTTTTTTTTTAACCACGCACTGCTAGTCGGAAACAAAATGTATTGAGATGGATCAAGTAGATGGTGCTTGAACACCCCACCCCTCAAGGCATTGGGTTGGCCTAGAGCTAATGACTAACTAGAAACTGTTCTTCCCACAAACAGAAGTCCAGTTTTAAGTTATCTGAATTATAA